TGGCGCCCCCTCACAACACACCCACATGACTCCTATCGATTTTGGTAACAAAGTTTTTATTGTTGTTATATAAAAAATATCACCAACGTATCATAGTAGCACGCTACTAAGACGCCAATGAACAAAACTCCACGTATCATAGCGCTAATGCACTAAGACATGAAGTTGAGTATGCCTGTTACACTTAAAAGTGCTACCAAACACACTCATCATCCCAATCCGAAATATAGACGACGCATCGCTATGCGCTACTACGCCACCCACAAACGGTATGGGTGTGCGATGTCCACGGGAAAGCCGTATTGCTACAACAAACCCGCTTACCACCGGCACTAAGATGATATGTCTAGGACACATCGGTTAGCGAGTCCAAGTTTACCTCGGACCAATTGCTCGTGAAGCAGCACACACGCCACCATAATATACCTTTTCAAGTCCCTAATAAGGACTAGTCATTTTGCTACAGTACTAGGAGCAGTCAGTCACCCGACCACTCCATACAATGCTTATGCATCAAGGAGACCTTCTATAATATTGCTTTTGTATGACCTTACTTTCATAAGTCAAAACAACCCTCTGACATATAATCATAAGACCTTCTATAGTTTGCTTTTGGATCATAGACCTTACTTTCATAAGTCATTAATATATAGGGTTCGAACCCACGACCCTACTATTGTAATGCAAATTCATCATGGAGACCTTCTTTAGTATTGCTTTTGTATCATTGAGTTTAATATCATAAGTCCCTAATATAGGACTAGTCATTGTGCCTACAGTACTTCAGGCAGTCGGGCTCCCGACCACCCCATATATATGTACAACTGCAGGTATGTACCTCCGGCAGCTTCCTCCATACAAGACGTCTATACGTGAACACCTTCCATAACTTAGGAAAATTTTCTTTAATACATGAACTCCTTCAACAACTTAAGAAATTTCATCTATACGTGAACTCCTTCCACAACTTAGAAAAATTTTCTTTTATAGACGAACACCTCCCATGACTTAAACAATTTTTAACAAATTTTCTAATTATCTTATAAACGTTATTTAACTTAATTTTATAATATTTTTTGACTTGTATTTCTATTATTTATCTTATTTTAAATATTTTTTCAAGTTTTTAAATAAATTTATTTATTACGAAAAACAATAATTTTGCCTTTAATTTACTATGTTATTGGGATAATGTCTGAAATATATTAACTTTATGTTTATTAATTTAACTTAATTGCTTAATATATATCTTTTAAGACTATTTTTGAAGCCCCTTTATATTGAATTTAATTATTAATAATAATATTGGGCCGTCACACTATCTTCGGGGTCGTTCACAATGTATCCGTTCCAATGACACTTATTCCAACTGGTGTAATCTTATAACGGGTGTACCCCAGGGTGGCGTCTTGTCTCCTTTGCTCTTCACCGTTTTTATCAATTCTATAACAAAAATAATATCCTCCAACTTCCATCTTTATGCAGACGATTTGCAGCTTTACCGTCACTTTGTGGCATCTGAAGCTAAATTGGCGATAGAAGCACTGAATGATGACTTGAAGAGAATCAGTCGTTGGTCCAGATCACATGGTATAACTATTAATCCAAGTAAGTCTCAAGCAATAATAGTAAGTAGCAGATATACTAGTAGCTTAATTGATAAATGCACCCTGCCAGATGTGATTATCAATGGCACATCAATTACTTATACTGAATCTGTGAAGAACTTGGGCTTAATTATGGACAATAAGTTGTCATGGGGTCTTCACATAACGGACTTAGGTAGAAAAGTTTATTATGCTTTCCACTCATTAAAACGTCTTCAAAGTTTTTTACCCTTATCAATGAAAATCTCTCTTGTTCAAACCCTTATTTTGCCTATCTTAGATTACGCTGATGTCTGTTTTTTGGATGCCACAGAGGAGCAATTAAACAAACTTGAGCGATTACAAAACCTTTGCATTCGGTATATTTTCGGACTCAAGAAGTTTGACCACGTCTCTAAATTTAGAAAGCAACTCAAGTGGCTCCCGATCCGATTTCGCAGGAACACTCGTATCCTTTGTCTCCTTTTTAACATCCTATATAGCCCAAATTTCCCTACATACCTCCGAAATCGATTTACCTTTCTTAAATCCCCAGATACAGTTTGTAGATCTCACCTTAAAACTGTCTTAAAATTCCCATCCTTTAATACTCATTCATATTCCCGTTCATTCTCCGTACAAGCAGTAAGACTCTGGAATTCGCTTCCTACTCACATTCGAGAAATCAAAACAGTGACATTCTTCAAAAACGAGTGAAAGAACATTATTTATCGCTGTCTCTGTGTCTCAAATCTCTGATATTTACTAATTGTTACAAATATATGTATGTACATATATGTACGTATGTGTGTGTGTATATATATGTTTATATATATATATATATATATATATATATATATATATATAATAAAATTATATATTTAATTTATACCCATATGTGTTGTATAATAACAAAGTGCACACCTTATAATGATTTAGTAATCATATGTGTTTGAAACTGGCCTACTGGAAGAAATTTCATTGTGAGATAAGTAGAGCCTTTGTACAAACTTTTTATCATGATGTGTCCTCTCCCTAACTTGTGTGTACATAAATTGTGAAATAAATAAATAAATAAATAGCAGTAAAGAAAAACCAATGAACACTCATACTTTTCAGACTTACGACTGTCTACAATCGACGTAAACGTTATCTTAACCTTGATGTATATTATAAATCAATTGAAGGCGTATTTAAAAGTTTATTCATTGTATATATCGGGTGTCTCAGTAAGAGTGCACTTTTTAAAATTGGAATATTTTTTTTTCATGCAAGTGGCAACTCTGAAATTTGACAGCTGTCATCTCTGTTTATTCCCATTATTAAAAATGGAGAGGTTTTCGAAAGAACAACGCGTTATAATTGTGAAAACTCATTACAAAAATGGGATAAGTTACGCTGAAACCGCTCGCAAACTGCGCCAAATTTTCAGCCGAGAAAGTGCACCTAAGTGTCAACCATTTGAAGAGTGGTTAAAAATTTTGAAGAAACTGGGTCAATTATGGATAATAAGAATCCTTTGCGTCAACGTACCGGTCGGTCTCTTGAAAACATTGCTGCTATAAACGAGAGTGTTGCCGAAAACCCGAAAACATCAATTCGACATCGTTCTCAACAACTTCAAATTTCACGAAGCACTACGCAGCGAATTTTGACTAAAGACATCCACCTTCATGCGTACATGATTCAGTTAACTCAGGAGCTCAAACCAGCAGACCACGGAAAGCGCCGGCAATTCGTTCAATGGGTAATGGAGCAAAGTGAAGTCGATACCAATTTTTCGGAAAAAGTCATTTTCTCCGATGAAGCGCATTTCCATATGGATGGCTTCGTGAATACACAAAATTGTCGGATTTGGGACTCAGAAAATCCTCATGCAATCCATGAGAAACAAATGCACCCACAACGAGTAACTGTCTGGTGCGGATTTTGGTCAGGCGGCGTGATTAGACCTTACTTTTTTGAAAATGAGGCCGAAATTGCAGTGACTGCGAACGGCATTCGTTACAGGAATATGATAACGGACTTCTTGTGGCCTCAACTGGACTGCATGGATCTGGACAACATGTGGTTTCAGCCGGACGGCGCAACCTGCCACACCGCGCAGGAAACAATCGACTTATTGCAGCAACGATTTCCAGAACACATTATCTCACGAAACTCTGATGTCAACTGGCCACCAAGATCGTGCGATTTAACGCCGTGCGATTTTTTTCTTTTTGGTTTTGTGAAATCTCGAAAAAACAATTCCTGAGCTGAAATCGGAAATCCAACGCGTCGTCGGTGAGATACAGCCACATCTCTGTGCAAAAGTCATGGAAAATTTCATGAAAAGAGTAATGGCCTGTCATCGGAGCCGTGGGGTCATTTACCGGATATTTTATTCCATTCTTAATCGGAATATGTCTTCTTTACAATACAATAAAAATATCACAACTCTGTCATAAAATACTTGTTTTTATTTTAAAATGAAAAAGTGCACTCTTACTGAGACACCCCTTACAAAAATCAACTATTTACACACACTTTTATATACACTTTTGTATCTATATTTTATTTAGATTTAAAAACATTAGTGAGGCTACTTTAGTGGCAGACAACCGTGTCCTTCGATCACTTACAAATACACAGTGAGTCACACATCCTCAGTCCACACCTAACAGCGCTGCTGCTAGAACTAGTTGCCGATAAATATTAATAGCGCAATAGTGTAATAGCCGCTACTTACACAGCATGCGCTATGTGCTATGGAGAGATAGCGCGCTATGCTATATATGCTATATTACCCACAATTACATCCGGAATTTTGACGGGAACTCGACTGTCGACGGATTGTTGCTCCTGTTTTGAAGTGGATGTTGATACTTAAAAGTGATGCGATTTTGTGTATAAAGTTTTTTGAGTGTGTGAACTATTAGTGGAAACGACAACAAGCGCTTCGCTATTGATGTGAATCTCAAGTTATTTTGTTCGCATAGGCTTCTTAAGAACTTGAGTTATGGTCATCATGAACCGCTGGTTTGAGATGTCTTCAAAATCTCCCAAAAAGTGAAGAGAAATCTATAAAAACGAAGATCCTTTAGGAAATTACAAGCTGCGGCCTAAAAGACAAGCATCCAAGTCAAGATATCTTGAAGTAGAAAAACATGACATCTGACATTGATATTTATCAGCAACAAAATTTTAAATAAAAAGTTAAAAAGCAGACCAGAACCAAATTACAAGATAAAAGGGACCATCAAATCATTTAACTTAAAATATTTATGAATAAAAAATTCTCAGTGCTTTTATGTGCCGCGCAATTCTGTATTAATCAATACAATAAAATTGTATTAAATACTAAAAAATCGTAACAGGAACCAATCAGTTAAAAACTAAAAAATAATGGTTCGCTTACCGTTAATCAAGAACAATATGATAACATCTGTAATAGGAATTAACAAATGCCTTATAAACCGGAGTTTTATCAGAAATTTAATGTCTAAACAGCTTGTATATAGTGAATTTGGAGATCCATTGAAAGTTGTTAAGTTCAGAGAAAGTGAAGTGCCTCCTCTTGGTAATCAAGATGTTTTAGTACGCATGCTAGCGGCACCAATCAACCCTGCAGACATTAACACCATACAAGGTATATGTTACATAATAAAAATTGTATATTAATTTTAAGTGATTACAGCTTATGTTATGATCATGATTGAAGATAATGAGAATGTAGTGTTAATCAGGTATTATTCATAAATTTTTTGTATATTATATTTATATATCATATTAGTCGTTATTTTATCACATTATTTTTGTTTCAGGAAAGTATCCTGTTAAGGTGAACCTTCCAAGTGTACCAGGTAATGAAGGTGTAGGAATTGTTGAAGAAATTGGTAAAGATGTGCAAAGAATATCTCCCGGAAATAAGGTTATTGTAACCAAGCCAGTTCAAGGTACTTGGAGGAACATAGGCACATTTAATCAAGAAGTTCTAAAAGTTGTTCCAGAGGGTTTGGGTTTGGTTGAAGCTGCAACTCTTACAGTAAACCCCTGTACAGCATATAGAATGCTAACAGATTTTAAGCCTGTAAGAGATGGCCTTGTAGTAATACAAAATGGAGCGAATAGTGCCTGTGGACAAAACATCATCCAAATATGTAAAGCGTGGGGTGTAAAAAATATTAATATTGTCAGAAATAGGCCTGAAATAAATGAATTAAAGAAGTATTTAGAATGCTTGGGAGCTACTTATGTCCTTACAGAAGAAGAATTACGTTCTACAAATATTTTTAAAGATAAAATAATAGAAAAGCCTTCACTGGCTCTAAACTGTGTGGGAGGTAAAAGTTCTCTTGAAATGTTAAGACATTTACAACACTCAGGTAAAATGGTAACATATGGTGGTATGTCTAGAGAACCAGTTAATATTCCAACTTCCGCATTTATTTTTAAGAATTTATCTTTCCATGGCTTTTGGATGACTGCGTGGAATGAGAAAGCAGATCCTACAGAAAAAAATAATATGATGAATGATTTAATATTGATGATGTGTGAAAACAAACTTAAAGGACCAATACATAAATTGGTCAAATTTGAAAATTATGAAGAAGCTCTTGGCAATGCTCTTACATCTCAAGGCTACACAGGCTGTAAATATATATTAGAATTTAGTTGTTAGATACAAATAAAATGTAATATTTAATTATGTTAATAAAAGGTATTGATAATTATTGTTAATAAAATTTTTAAGAAATATGTAGCCATTTTCATGATCATCTAATTACATTATTGAATAAAATTTTAAACAAAGCTGTAAAATATAAAACAGCAAAACATATAGTCATTATTGATGGGACTCGAGCCATGTTTCACTCTAGTCACTCGAGTAGCTTTTATTTTATATTTATATTTGTGGCCACTCAGATTACGAGTTACTCATGTCAACTCGAATGACTGATGACCCCAGTGGCCTGTACTGACTCGAGTGAGAAATTGAAGATAAGACAGGTTTAGCTGATGTATCTTCCATTTGAAATTTAGTACAAATTTGAGTGAGTTTTTTGTATTAGTAATATGTTTATTTAAAATGTCTACATAAAATATGGAACAAAAAACATTTATTTCTAGGTTGTGTAAGAAAAATTACAAAGACTTGGAAAACTACCAACTTGATTTTTCATAATATGAAGAAAAAATATCAGATTCACTATAAAGATATTAAGGGTGAGTCAAGTTCATCCCATGCGTGTTCTTCAACTAGTGAAGTTCCGCATCAACGTCTGCCGATTTCGATACTAAATCAAAGAAACGTCTTTTTTAGCAACCAACTTGCAAGGCCAAATGCATCGTTTACTAAGCAGAAACTTAAAAGAATTATCTTTTGCTCTATAGTATGTGCCAAATCAATTTAGAAAAACGGACGCACCAGAATGAGCCGATGTCAAATAATTTACAAAATCTCAATTTAGATGTGATAACAATATTTAAATATTGATATTATTCACACTTCTAGGTCAGCACATATGTTTTTTTTGTTTCTTAAATAATATTGTCTGTGGTTCCTATAAACATCTTAAAATCTTACGGTACATCACGAAAAATGTGTTATACTTCAATTTATGGTAAGTAACGCAGCAATGTCAACAGATTTGACAGCATACAGGCAACTGAACAGACAGATCTCCAAATGCATGCGGCGAGACTTACGCAAATTTAATACTGCTCGTATTGAAGAAGCGATTGAGCGGAACCATGGCTCCAAAGTCTTTGCCAGAGATGTGTCTGCCAGTAAGAGCCAACTGTCAAAGCTGAAGACTGAGTGTGGCAGCATCGTTTCCGGGACACCTGAGATTCTGAGTGAGATTGAGAGGTTCTATGGGCAGCTGTACACATCATCGTTGGAGCCACACGCAAGTGTGAGTAACGATCCAAGAGCGGGTCTTATCCGACGTTATTCCGATGATATCCCGGACGTCAGTCTGAGCGAGATTAGAGTGGCTCTCCAGCACCTTAAAAACGGCAAGTCCCCGGGCGAAGATGGAGTTACAGCGGAGCTTCTAAAAGCGGGTGGAAAACCGGTACTTGAAGTCCTTCAGAGGCTCTTTAATTTCGTCCTCCATGGTGGCACTACTCCGGAGGCGTGGAGCAGAAGTGCGGTGGTCTTGTTCTTCAAGAAAGCTGACAATGCCCTCTTGAAGAACTACAGACCGATATCCCTTCTGAGCTGCGTCTACGTGCTGTTTTCGAGAGTCATTACGAATCGTCTCGCACACAGACACGATGACTTCCAGCCTCCCGAACAACCCGGTTTCCAAAAAGGCTTTAGTACCATAGACCACATACATACCCTTCGGCAAATTGTACAGAAGTCCGAAGAGTACAATCTGCCACTTTGCCTGGCGTATGTGGACTATGAGAAAGCCTTTGATTCCGTCGAAATTTGGGCGGTGCTACAGCCTCTTCAGCGGTGCCAAGTTGACTGTTGGTATATCGAAGTGCTGAAGTGTTTGTACAGTGGAGCTACGATGGCTATCCGAGTACAGAACCAGAGTACGAAACCTATCCAACTGCAGAGAGGTGTAAGACAGGGTGACGTTATTTCCCCGAAACTCTTCACCGCTGCATTGGAAGACGTTTTCAAGCTACTGGACTGAAAAGGATACGGTATTAACATCAATGGCGAGTACATCACTCACCTTGGATTTGCCGACGGTTTAGTCCTTATGGCAGAATTCGCTGGAGGACTTAAGCACTATGCTCAATGACCTCAATAGTACCTCCCAACGGATAGGTCTTAAGATGAACATGGACAAAACAAATATCATGTTTAATGTCCATGTCACACCTATGCCGGTAGTTGTTGGGAGCACTAAGCTCGAAGTTGTTGACGAGTACGTTTACCTGGGACAAATAGTCCGACTAGGTAAGTCCAACTTCGACCGAGAGGTCAATCGACGGATTGAACTTGGCTGGGCAGCGTTCGGGAAATTAAGACACATATTCTCGTCAGGTATACCTCAAAACCTGAAAACTAAGTTGTACAACCAGTGCGTGTTGCCATTGATGACATATGGAACTGTGACGTGGTCCTTCACTGCTGGCCGTATGAGGACGCTCAAAGTCGCTCAGCGAGCTATGGAGAGGGCTATGCTCGGAGTTTCTCTGCGTGATAAACTTAAAAATGAGGATATCCGCAGTAAAATCAGAGTGACCAACATAGCCCAACGGATTATAAAACGGATTATAAAACCAAATAGTCCGACTAGGTAAGTCCAACTTCGACCGAGAGGTCAATCGACGGATTCAACTCGGCTGGGCAGTGTTCGGGAAATTACGACACATCTTCTCGTCGGGTATACCTAAATCTCTGAAAACTAAAGTGTATAACCAGTGCGTGTTGCCAGTGATTACTTACGGATCTGAGACGTGGTCCTTCACTGCTGGCCGTATGAGGACGCTCACGGTCGTTCAGCGAGCTAGCTCTAGCTCTATGCTATGCTCGGAGTTTCTCTGCGGGATAGACTTAGAAATGAGAATATCCGCAGTAAAACCGGAGTGACCGACATAGCCCAACGGATTAGTAAGCTGAAGTGGCAATGGGCCGGCCATATAGTTCGAAGAACCGACAACCGTTGGGGAAAAAAGGTTCTCGAGTGGCAGCCTCGTACCGGTAGACGAAGTGTAGGGCGACCCCCCACTAGATGGAGTGACGACCTGGTAAGACATGCAGGAAGTCGATGGATACAGGTGGCTCAGGACCGTGCTTTGTGGCATACCTTGGGGGAAGCCTATGTTCAGCAGTGGACTTGTAAAGGGCTGTAATGATGATGATGATGATGATAAACGCAGCAATTCATCAGTTTCATATTAAAAAATATATTTGAAGCAATATAATAATCATATTGAGCTTTTGCAAATGTATCCCTTTAAAATAAACAAAACGCGCGTTACGTCCGTTCGTTCTAAAAGAAATGTGATATTGGCAGCCAGAGATGCATCACCTTTTTTGGGCCGGTCCGCCATTTTGTTTTCATTCGTGTTCGGATAGCGCTTGCGTGTGTACGTCTCGGATAATTCGTAGTATTCACTGCATTATTTTAGTTGAGTTTTTACTTTTACTGTTAATTTGTATATCATTAAGTTTTTGTTGTTGAATCTGGTATATTAGTTTTACTGTAACGGTCGTTACTAAATCGACATGAGTTCAGAAGAATCTGGTGAAGGACCCGGCCCTTCAACGTCAAGTGGAAAGAGACGTCGCCGACCCATAATAAACGTAGCAGGTACGAACAAATAAATAAAAATGTAACAACAAAACCTTTCCATTTCTTAAAGCGCTCTTTTTATGTGACCATGTGGTATTTATTTTCTAAAACAATATTCATTTATGTTGTGTAGTACTATGGTAGTATATTTTTGTCATTTATTTATAGGCCCATCTTCTGGAGCACCTTTAACGACACCAGTAAAAAAGAGAAAAACTTTGTCGGTCGGGGAAGAAGAGATTATTATTAATGTATATAAATATGTCAAAAACATCTGGCCCGAAGACGTGTACCCTCAAACGTTAAAATGCTAGAATAGGTTTCGGAGATCTCAGGAGTCAGCAAGAGCACTATATATCACGTATTAAGCGTGTATTATCTAGATTAAGAGATTTATTCCCATAAAATACCAAAAAAGGGAATAATTAATAAAAGAAAGAAGTCTGTAATTGACAATTTGGACGATTTTGATTAATCGGCTATAAGAGCGAAAGTGCATCAGTTCTTTCTTGCAGGAGAATTACCGACTTTAGACAAAATTTTGCTCAGTATAAATCAAGAGGGCCAGTTGTCAAACCTGAGCAAAACTTCCCTGCGACGTGTGTTGCGCCAATTAAAATTCAAATATATAAAGAGAAACATAAAAAGTGGTCTAATAGATCACCAAGAGATAGTTCTTTGGCGTACCAGATATTTGGGAGAAACGCAAATATTAAGAAACGAGGGACGTAACATTTTTTACCTTGACGAAACATGGATTAACGCAGCTCATACTAATGGAAAGGTATGGGAAGACACCACAATTGAATCTTCTCGTCAAGCACGGTTGGAAGGCCACTCTACTGGCGCGAAAACCCCTTCGGGTAAAGGAGAGCGATTAATAGTTGTACACGTTGGCAATGAAAATGGCTTTTTGGAGGGATGTGATTGGGTATTTGAATCATCATCTACTGGTGACTACCATGAGAGTATGGACACTCTCCATATCGAGGACTAGTTTGGAAAAGTAATAGAAAAACTGCAAAGCGGCGAAGTCATAGTTATGGATAACGCTAGTTACCACTTCAGACGTTTAGAAAAAACCCCAACAGTGTCTTGGCGGAAACAAAATATGCAGGAATGACTAGAATCCAAACAGATCGCATACGTGCCCTCGGACACAAAGAACCACTTAATGGAAAGAATAAAGGCAGTTAAAGATAACTATCGAAGTTACGTTACCGACGAGATGGCAAAAGAGATAGGCACCACAGTGGTAAGGTTACCTCCATATCACTGTGAGCTTAAACCCATTGAAACACTTGTGTGGGCATATGTGAAAGGGTACGTAAGAAAAAATACAACTTTCAAGGTAACAGATGTTAAAAATTTACTTAAAGATGGTTTAACTCAAATCACGCCAGATAAATGAAAACTGTGTTCAGCATGTCCTTAAGTTTGAACAAAAAATGCGTGGTATGGATGATAGAATTGACCAAACTGCAGATCGCTTTATAATAATTAATGTTACAGACAGTTTATCTGAATACACATCAAGTGAAGATACGAGTGATGATTGCACCGAATATAAATAAAGTTCTTATATAATATTGAAAATAAAGTTTTATCTTTTGAATAAGTACGGACTTATTCGGTGTCATTGTCACTCGAATCTTTTATATGTGTTATAAATTAATGCTTTTTGATGTTAAATGAATAAAGTACTTTATAGCAGTTGATGATTTTTCTTCTACAGCGATCTTTTACATAACTTTTTAATAATAGTTAATAAATATATATTATATCAATATTTATAAAAAAAATAAAGAAAGTACTACCTATAAAATGTGCCGATGTATTGAAGGTTTGTAACCCCTGGTTAAACGACCGAAAGATCATTGTCCGTTTTTTTTAATGGATTTTGCACATACTATAATCAAAATTATTAGTCTAGACTTACAACCTATGCAAATCTTGGAAATCAAAGGTAAAAACTTTTGTTAGTTTTTGACAGGCGAGTAACGGAGTAACGCGAGTAAAAAAAGTCACTCGAGTTTTATTTTCATTCGAGTGGCACTCGAGTGATTAGGTTATGGCGTGACTCGATTGAAAAAATGTCACTCACGTTCCATCAGCCTATCACTGTCGCTAATAGTCACAATCATGGAGGTTAGAGAACAGGAGAACGATCGCTACGTGCATAGCCCGCCGGTCCCTGAAAATTTGTCGAATTTATAGCCGCGCTGCCGTCGTTTAGTACCTAGTATTTGCGAAATATTTTTTTATTATTGACAAAAAGAAACATTATAAAATGGTGAAATATTATTAAAAAAAATAATAAATCAATAATAATCTACATTTGTAATAAATTATAGTAATTAAAATTATAAAAAACATAATTTATAATTTATTTATTAATAAATAATAATAATTTCGTTATCTTCTTTTTTTTTCTTTGAATGATATTATAATCATTTAAAACTAACGCACAACGGCCCACTTTTATTGAGGCAACTTAGCGATCGCAGCGCCTCACTTATTTTGTCCATGTTTCTGGGACACTTTTCTACAGCGATCATTCTCCTGTTCTCTAACCTCCATTGTCACAATCATGGAGTTTAGAGAAAAGGAAAACGATCGCTATGTACTATAAATAAAGCATAGCCCGCCTGTCCCTGAACTGCCGTCAGTCAGTAGTATCTGCGAAGTTAGCTGTTTATGAGTACAAGTAGATGAAGTTCGTTGAATATTGTACAAATTTTGTTCGCGGCATTGGTGAGAAAATAATCGTGCTTCGTATTTTTTTTAAATTTTTGACAAAAGAAACATTAAAATGGTGAAATATTGTTCTGTACTTGGATCTGCAAGTGGTTTAGCATCTGACCGGAAAAATAGACTGAAAATGACTTTTATTGAGACAACTTAGCGACCGCAGTGCCTCATTTTGTACATATTTCTGGGACACTATTTTCTATAGCGATCGTTCTCCTGTTCTCTAACCTCCATGGTCACAATCATGGAGTTTAGAGAAAAGGAAAACGAACGCTACGTACTAAAGCATAGCCCGCCTGTCCCTAAACAGCCGTTGGTCAGTAGTATCTGCGAAGTTAACCGTTTATGAGTATAAGTAGATGAAGTTAGTTGAATATTGTTCAAATTTTCTTCGCGGCATTGGTGAGAAAATAATCGTGTTTCGTAATTTTTTAATTTTTTAACAATAACGTTAAAATGGTGAAATATTGTATTGTACTTGGATGTGCAAGTAGTTTAGCATCTGATCGGAAAAATAGACTGAAAATGACTTTTATTGAGACAACTAAGCGATCGCAGTTCCTCATTTTGTACGTTTTTCTAAAACACTATTTTCTATAGCTATCAATCTCCTTTTCTCTAACCTCCATGGCCGTAATCGTAGGTCACAATGTACTGTGTGAATAGTCATATGCATATATTTAGTATAAGTACTATATCTATGGTCATATGCAGCATATCGGTATCATATCTTTACACAGTGTTAGTAACATTTATTTTTGAATACCCCGACTAGGCATGTTAAGTCTTTACTGTTCTCCATTTTATCAATTCTTTGCGAATTCCCACCAAATTTTAAAACTTATTTTGCACCGCATGTGTACAGTTTCATTAAAGAAACAATTGTGAAAACCACCTCGCAATCACAGATCATCAATTATAATGAAGAGCTATCAAAGTAAATTCTGCGACCTAACTTCACTTGTATTTTGTTTAGGAAAATGCCTAATGAGTATAGGTCGGAGTAGATAGAGTTGTTTTTGCAACTTCCGACACGCGAACATAACATGGATATGCCAAATATTTCCCGGAATCCCGGGAATTCTCGGAATTAAAAAAACATTGTTTAAGTAGTTAGTTAGTTTATAGGAGTAGGTAGAGGTATTTTTGTTATTTGCTACATGTGGACATAACATAGATATGCAAAGTATTTCCCTTAGTCGCCCTAAAATTATTATTTTAGGTAAACAGTTTAAAATCTTTCCAATAAATAGTCGAAATAACGAAAAAACGGTGTGAAAAATTCACGAAAAACTGTTCCATAGTAAGTATGACATACATAATTCAAATGCATTTTGTTAGCCGATCAAGACAATCAGATAGAACACTGTCAAACTCGTCTCCGAAAATATTTAGGTAAGAGCAGTCAATAGCCAATGAAAATAGTTATTGTAGGAAAACGCGGTGCTTGAAGGGGTGTGCGAGGGGGAGGTCTTAGTCCACCTTGTATTCTAATTGACTTAGTCAGCTTTTAACATAAGATTGTATTAGAAAAAACGGTCAGGTGCGTGTCGGATCACCTACAAGGTAGGGTAACGGGAGAGTATAGTTTACGTAAACAAGTTCCCTGCTACTCAGGTCACTAACGAAAAATTCCACTTTAAACTTTTTTATATAAAAAATGACAGGGCTATGACAAACAGACGGACATGTCGAAACTATAAGGCTTCCTTTGGAACTTCGGAAGCCTGAAAAAATATGTATTTAGCAGAGGACAATTACTTCGGTTTTTCACTGAATGTCCTTTGTAGTAAGTAGATATTATAAAAATAAAAAACACTTACCCAAATGTGGTAGGTAAATCAAACAAACAGTTTCAAATGTATCCAGTCCGCAAAAAAACAAATCAAAATCCGTAAATCCAAGCCAAAGTATTCGTGTCAGTAAGATTCCAGAAAAAAGTTAACAAGCCAACGTCAAATAAAATAAGAAACACAATAAATCACAAGTGCGCACTCTACAAGCCGAAACAAGAGAGTGAGTGAATCCCGCTGTACTGTACCTGTATCTGTGTAAGTGAGATAGCTAATACTTTGGACGTTTTAAGATAGAAAGAGACAAAAATAAGCGAAGAAAACATCGCGTACGACGGGTTGGCAACATGGAACATAAATATAAAAGAGAGGTACATTGCTTTTTTAGAGAAAGACTGAAAACATTTTCTAATTATTAACTACAAGAAAAATAGTATGTATAGTTTATTAATTTTAAAAAGGTTTTATAGGTTATTATTGTTAAAAAGTGACCAATAAAAATTTCTTCTCTCTGTTTAAATAAAAAAAATTATAAAACTCTATTCTGTATTGTGTAGGCATTTAATATTTCATTGTGTAGTAAAGTATATTTAGTATTGTTTCTAACAGTTTTACTTAATTAATTCATATTTCACGAAGCTACCTCTAACAACATTGAAGGATCCCTGTGTGTGTATATAAGTATATACTGTTTGGGTGCTCACCTACTACCTGCACATATTAACTCACTTAAATCAATCGACAATTTCAAAATCCCGGGATTTCAGAGGCGTATCCATGCTAACATCAATGTTTGCGGTCATTCACCCCAAACAGCTCTACCTACTCCGACCACTGCTAATGAGGCAAGGATGGATTATACCGGACTAACCACCCGTGGTATGTCATCTTCGGCGCGACCTTCAGATCCGGGGTCTCGTTCCTCGGTAGAAACCAAATTCTCCCCCTTCACCTTCAGAGCATAGAGTAAGGGGTGGATTGCTATACCAACACTCCTTTTCCCCTGCTACGCCTTCGGCTGCGGCGGAAAAGTTAGAGGGCACCACAGTCCACCAACACATCCGAAGTTTTTTTAACATACGAAGTGCGCTAGCCAAGCCCGCTGTAGAGTCGACACTTCAGTGCATTCCTCTAAATTCAACGTGGGTGATTAAGCCACGGCTACAAAGCTCCCCTGACAAGGCGAAAACCCGTTCGGGTGAGAAACCTATCTTACCTAACCTAACCTGACCATTATAAGTGACACAACGATTGTTATTATTCCAGTTCCATTACGATTTCCGCATGTTATTACTGCACAAGTGGCATTTTAATTATTTTAATACCAAATAGCATATAATTACTACTTACATTTAAATTACCACTGCTCACCGTGAGTAAGATTCCAGTATAATATATACGTAGCCATTGTGACGAAAGATATTCATGAGGAAATCCCCACGAAGAAAAAGGTTAGGTTATGTTAAGGTGTAGTGGATCTTCTAATGCTGTGTAGTGAGCATAAAACAGTCGTCTATCAAATATTATGCTGTAGCTGTAGGTAGAAATGACACAAGTGATGGACAGCGGCATATGCTCAGCAATGGACTTTTGATAGGCCGTAATGAAGAAATGGCTGAATTACAATCATTTCCGTCTAAGAGATATGCTCGAACACCGTCAAAGAGCTATGCCAAAGAAACATATATAAGAGGAAGAACTGGTGTGACAGATATTCTCACTAAGATAGACCAAATAAAGTGGAGATGGACGGGTCATATGCTACGGAGACTCCAGGATAAATAGAGCAAAATATTGACAGAATGGTACCCCAGAAACTGTAAACGAAATAGAGGTCGACGTCGCAAAAGATAGAGAACAATGGAAATTGCTGAAGGAGGCTTTAGCCGAGAGGCACACCGAACACCGAGACTTTATAATGTATATAACTTACATGACATATAAAACAGAATGAGACAAGTGTTTCGTCTGTGGCCATAAATTTTTCTAGAGTGGCATAGAGTTAGTACTCTTTTTAGTTTGTGGGCATAGAGTGACTGATTCTCTTACGGCGCCTTCAACATAGCGTGGTAGCACATTACCGCACACAACATCACAGTACGTCGTTTGAAGCAAACTTAACCATACCCAACTGTATCTCTTAGCTTTCCCTTCTGTTTTAAGTAAAGCTTTATAAAGCGAGTGCATGATGTGAAGTTTTGCGAGGAGAGACACGTTGACGTTTGTGAGGTATTGACGACGAGGACATGCATCAAGTTCTGTGGTGCTCTCCTCTGTAAAAGAAATTGGTACTGTATTTTTACGGAGATCTCGTAGCCTCAAAGGCTACCATCAGACGACTAAGGGACTTAGCGCGCAGATGGCACAAGCGGCTGAAAGACGTTTTAGACAAAGAACTTTATAGGTAAAGGGCGAGGAATAGAGAAATGTGTAGAAAATCAAGAAAGAGCATGTGCGTAAAAGCCAAGCACTCTTCCTGAAATTCGGCTCGTATACTGGATGTTTTAAAGTGGCACCAAATCAGCATCTAACACACTATTTGACGCTAGCTAAAGAATTTGTTAATAACTTGCCAAAAAGTGATAAAAAAGCCAAGCAATAAATAAATTAAAGATGTATAATATATTATTGAATGCTTGGCTTTTCCATCTTTTTTTTGTCAAGTTACTAACAAACTCTTTAGCTAGGGCCAAACAGTATGTTAGATGCTGATTTTGTGCCCAAAAACACATATTTTAAACAGTAAATTATTGCGAGACAAAAGTAAAAATTAAACTGTAGATGTTAAAACTCACGGAGAAAATGTTAAATACATAATATGGGGCATAAACTTAAAAAAATATTATTATAAATATGAAATAAGTTTTATTTATTCTAATTTTATTTCAACGGTTTAATTTTTTTATTGCAGGCAAAGGATCGTGTTTGCCAAGTTTGCCACATGTTCCTGGTGATGAAGGAGTAGGCGAAGTTGTGGAGATCGGCAAACAAGTTTGTACAGTAAAGCCTGGTAATAGGGTTGTTTTAACATCCAGGCTTTTAGGTACTTGGCGATATTATGGCATATATCACGAAAGAGATGTTCATATTATATCGCCAAATATTCCTTTACCTGAAGCCTCAATGCTCACAGCAGCGCCCTGTATAGCTTACAGAATGATCAAGGATTATCGGCGAATATATCCAGGGGAAACAATTCTTCAAAATGCTGCAAATAGCCCATGTGGTCAATGTGTTATTCAACTCTGCAAAGCTTGGGGAATTAATACCTTTAACATCGTCTCTAATCGCAATGGATACAGGGCAATGAAACAATATTTATTAAATCTAGGAGCCACTGCAGTTTATACACTCGAAGAAGCTGAAGAGTTGACATCTTTTAATACATCGTTGTCACGACCAGTGTTGGCGTTTAACTGTTTGGGTGGCAGATACGAAGATGTTATATTGAAATTATTAGAGCGTTGTGGAGTTATCGTTTACCATGGTTTTGCGTATGATTTACCATTAGCAAAACAGTTATTACGTCGTGATGCTAAATTCTATAAATTTCGATTAAGTGATTGGGATCTACTTTCTACTAATGTTCAGAGAAGTGTAATGATCAATCAAATAATACAACTTATGGTTGTAGGTAAATTAAAGGCGCCTTTATATGAACCAGTTCTACTTAGAAATTACGTTCATGCACTTAAAAATACTGTTCACTGTGAAGCGTTTTCAAATGTTAATTATGTATTTGATTTCACTATACCATAGAATGATAATTGACTTTAAACGTTATCAACAAAAGAAACTTAATAATATAAAATTTAAAAGTGACTGTGATCATAAGGTGCCAACAATATTAGAATTCAAAAAATATCAAATATTGATGACCACAGATTACTTACTAAGGTACTTTAAAATTTATGTAGTTTAGTAATATTGTCTTTGGTAAAAGGTAAGTATTTTTCTCGTAAACAGAAACCTATAGACAAATTGACCCCTTCTTTCGCATTCACACACGAAAAAGATGGATTTATGCATACGTCTTGCATAGAAATGAGACGGAGCGGTGTGATTGTTTGTGTCGGTTTTTTGAAAGGCCCTTTACTACCGCGTCTTCCCAATAATAAATAAAACCTCTCATCTGCTCATCTCATGATTAGAGAGATGTCATGAGAGATGATGTATGTAAATCTATCATGGAGGTTAAGGAACAGAAGAACGATCGCCGTAGAAAATACTGTCCCAGAAATATGGACACCATAAGTGAGGCGCTGCGACCGTTAAGTTCGGTAAATAAATGTCATTTTCAGTCTATTTTTCCGATCAGATGCTAAACCACTTGCACATCCACGCACAATAAAATATTTCTCCATTTTTTAATGTTTCTTTTTGTCAAAAATTACAAAATTACGGAGCATGAAAATTTTCTCACCAATGCCGCGGAGAAAATGTGTACATTATTCAACTAACCTCATCTACTTGTACTCATAAACAGCTAACTACGCAGTCACTACTCACCGACGTCAGCGCCGCTATAAATTCTACAATTTTCAAGGACAGGCGGGCTATGGCTGTGCTTTAGTACGTAGTGATTATTCTACTGTTCTCTAACCTTCATGTACGATAATATCAGATAATATTTTCCAGATTTCGATGGGCCATAACCCTAATTAGATAAAACATAGTAAATTATTTTATCGATATCTGTAACGGTGACAAAGTTAAATGCTTCGTGATTCCATCAATATTTTCGCTATTATTTTCATTTACACGAAAGAAGAATATTTAAAGAAAGAAAAATATTTACGAAACAATGAATTTAAAATTATAGAAATACATTAAACAAATCTTAACGAAAATATTACGGCAAAAAGAGCGACACGTCTATATGGCACCCGGACTCAGTATAGATAAATAAGATAGACCTCAGCTGGCTGTGTCTTTATCGATAGTTATTGAACAGTTCGATTCGAGAGGTTTTTGGATCGATTCATCGAATCGATGCGGTGCTCCAAATCGATCTAAAAATTATTTTACTCCAGGTAATTGATGTTTTGATTAATCGATTTTAGATCGACATGCCTATAATTATATATGCCTATAATAATATTTTATATATTATAATGACAACAGTGCGCATCCATAGATTCCTATAGTGCGCAACAGCGCCATCAGCCATCACGTAGACAGATGGGTGCGTTTGGCAGAAAAAAGCGCTAGCAAGCGCTTATAAGCGCTGAAATAGTTTTCGGCCAGGACACGATTGCTACTTCAGTAGCGCTGACACAATCCGCCATTTTGCTTATTTAATTTGTTTGTTTTGAAGTAGAGTTTATAAGTTATTTTGTGCAATATTAGTTTTAAGTAATATAATGACATGAATAAACATATACATGTTATTAAAATTCATGATTGGTAAGTTTTTAATATAAATACTTTACAAACATATATTTAAATTTGGTTAGGTTCCCCGGTTAAAACTAACATCGTGTCCTGGAGGAAAATAGCTACTTACGATTTGACAGCGCTTACCGCTTACGATCGCCATTTTGCTTACAAGCGCTTGCTAGCGCTTTTTTCTGCCAAACGCACCCATTCTTTTCTGTCTACGAACCATCAGCTGTTTAAATTGTCAACATTGTCAACATGGTCTTTACAATATATGTTTACAAAGATGTATGAGTGTTTAAAAATATGTGTAATGTGTATTGCAAAATGATTCCTGTACTTATAGGTATATATACAAAGGGCCTTTAAAATGCATTGATGTGTTACCATTGCCTTAAGATTAAAAACCAATAAAAGATGGATAAAAATTCCTATGAGACCTACGAGTATTTACCAAATGCTGAAAATGAAACAAACCAGTTTTTTGTGGTACAAGATGATGGTTCATTCTTAAGCGGTATGAAAATTTCCTGATTATTTATTACGTTTTATGCATGACCTCTAATTTTTTATCACCTAAAATGAAGAGAAACATCACGTTCCACTGTGGCCCATGGGCGCACCCTTACCATACCTTGAGACCTAAACACAAGAGTTACTTTTTCAAATCATAATAAAGTTTATTACAAAACAGAAAATAAAATAATTAATTATGATATTTTTTTACTAATCATATATGTCTTCTATCAACAATGAACAGAATTTGGTGGATTAATTTATAAATTCAATCTCAAATGTTGAAAAGATTTCCAAATTATGATGAGTAAATACATAGAATGTATGCCCATGAAAAATCCACTGCTGAACATATGTTGGCTCCCCTAGAGATTGCCTTGTATGCAGAATATTTGCATTAGTTGCTATGCTTGGCAAGTGGGTTGTCAATCACAGCCTTTTACTTTTATTTTAATATTATCAGGAAGATGATGCTGCCCTTGTTGTTCAGCTCCCCTCTGTCGCCTCTTATGATACCCACAGGATGATATGGGATAGTGATTATTCTTACCACTACACAATTCCATAAATACTGAAAAAATATTATATCAACATTATACAAACAAAGATATATTTCCTCACTAATTTCCCATCAATTACATGAATATGTACTTTCTAATTACTGACTACTGAACAAATAAACAAATCAGCAGTGAGATTAGTCTTAGGTCCAGCACCTAATATGTCAAAATATTTTCTGCACAAGTTTGCACATGTGAAGTTCAGTGCTCAGAGCTCATAGCCGTAGCCTTTAAATTGTACTTAAAAAATTTAAATGAATTAATTAATATTGATCCATTATATTAAGAATAATCTAAAGTAGGCTGAGCCCCTCTTAATAAAATAGCTTTCACCATGAAATTTGACTATATTCGGGAAACCCTGGTTTAATTGAATTTTATTCGCACTCAAGGTAACTGTGCTTGCAAACTGGAATTATTAGAACGAAATCTTTGGCTGTCCACTAGTAGATAACACTCATAATGCTTTTTTTTACATGCTTGTGCCATATAAACAATATAAATTAAGATAATTTTTAATTTATTAAAAATTATTTAATTTATAAATAAGTATGTGGTTATGGCTACTGGGGCCGATGATGATGTTCTGAATTGGTTCGGGAGTAAGCTTTTAAATTCAGATTCAAAACAAAGTCAGTGAATTGAAAAGTGATACCTAAAACACATTTCGGGAGAAAACTTGCTTGTTAGATCCCCACTGGCACCAATTAAATGATTATTTGTAATCTACCACATGCTCAGCAGTGATGTAAAAATTAATTAAATAAATAATGTCCTCCAGAATGAACTGGACCAGCTCAGGACAGGATTAAAGTATGTGTATGTGTGTACCAGCACAGGTGCTCGCTCATAAACTAGTAGAATGATGGCACTCTGACATGACCAGATAGGGATTAGGCGCAGGACCAACAGTTTAATGTGCTTTTCTAGACATGGGGGAAAACCATTAACATCCTGAATCCAGACTACTACTGAGAATTTATTGACAGAGAAACTGAATGACTGATTTTTGCCCCACCTGGGATTTGAATCCAGGAACTCACAATCAATATTCATGCTTACAACCACTAGATCAAAGTAGCAGTCTAAATGTCTGTAATTTAAAGCATCATAGGAAATAAAATGTTTCAAAGACATGTGAAGTCCGGCGGGTGACTAATTGTTTTATTACCCTCTTAGAAAGGGAAGGAAGACTGTGCCGAGCTGTGAATTTAACATTTATTTACTTTTTACCTTCCAGTAAATAGGCAGATACAGTATGTGACAGAAGTACAAGATGTGAAAGAAGTGTTAGAAAGTGTGGAGCCATGCACTGTGTATGATGTTTCTTCCCAACAATTCTATATAGATGTGGACAATACTGCTGAACTTATTTCTGTATCTGGTATGTACTCTCTTACTAATTAACATCTCTGTAATACCATATTCACAACTCTAGCAATGTCTAAGATGATGATGATATTCAATATGACAGGAATGTTCAAAGTTGTCAAACAAATTTGGCTAAACAGCAGTACTCAACTGATAACAATCTAAATACTTGTATAGCCAAAACTTCTTCATTCAGTGTTTTAAAGTCCACCTGACAAATTTGCTAAAAACAGAACATTATTTGTCAATTTATGTAGGTCTAAATAAATATCATTTCAATTTCAGGGTCAAATATTGAATGTAAACTTTACCCCAATACTAAATGTAACCTTTGACACACACTGTTTTAGCAATGAGGCGCGATGCTGAGGGCCGCAGTATCGAATCATGCACAAAACTATTTGTATGGCCTACAAATAATGGTCCCGGGTTTGGATATTTGTCCTTGTGGAATTAATGTATTTAAACAGCCTCCCCAATACGGGAGAAATCAGTAAAAAAAGGAATAAATAAAAAACAATAATGTAAAATTTCTAAGGGTTTTAAAATTAATAATTATGTAAAGTAGTAAAGCAACAGCCACTTTGCAGTATATTATGAATACAGCACTAATGGATTGTCTCGACCAGGGAAGGACAAGATTAACAAAATACCATTATAAAATAGCAGAGACTTGAAATGTGCCAAGGACTTTCGGAATATCGATAATTTGCTTCTTACTTATGCAATATAACCCAATTCTCATATGTTTTATGTTTAATTCTCATATGGGCTTAAAAAAAACGGGATATTGCTCCCGATAATCGCACATTAATGATAGCCAAACTTGAAGCCCTCCTTGATAAAGCAATTGATAATGTTATCAAAGAGAAATGGTTTAAGCGTGTCGAAGAGCTTCAGAAAATCGAATTGCAGTAAGCTATTTTAAGAGCT